AAATAAACTCAGATGAAATGCTTACCAGTGGGTAAATGATAAAGATTATAGCTCAGCTTAAAAATGACATGATAACACCTGAAAGGCAACAGAGCTCACATACCCTGAATAGGGCAATGTTCAGGTTATTGAAAGTTGCCTTACATACATTATCCAGTTTCACACACATAAACACACATCCCTGTGCAGGAGGTATTATTGTTATTATTATTATTATTATTATTATTATTATTATTTTGAGATGGAGTCTTGCTCTGTTGCCAGGTTGGAGTGCAGTGGCATGATCTTGCTTCACTGTAACCTCTGCCTCCCGGGTTCAAGTAATTCTCCTGCCTCAGTCCCTTGAGTAGCTGGGACTACAGACACGTGCCACCACCCCCAGCTAATTTTTGTATTTTTAGTAGAGACAGGGTTTCACCATGTTGGCATGGATGGTCTCAATCTGTTGACCTCATGATCCGCCCTCCTCGGCCTCCCAAAGTGCTGGGATTACAGACGTAAGCCAAAGCGCCTGGCCTACTATTTTTAATTCTTATTATTTTAATCCACATGTTGCATATGGGGAGTTGAATTTCCCAATCATAAATTGTACATACAAGGGAACTGAGTTTGGAGCCCAGATATGTTTGAGTCTAGACTACCTATAGTTTCTCACCTATAGAGATACAAAAACAGAGACCTGATAGGTTGGGCACGGTGGCTCAAGTCTGTAATCCCAGTACTTTAGGAGGCTGAGGCAGGCGGATCACGAGGTCATGAGTTCAAAGCCAGCCTGGCCAATATGCTGAAACCCCATCTCTACTAAAAATACAAAAATTAGCCAGGCGTGGTGGTGCATGCCTGTAGTCCCAGCTACTTGGGAGGCTGAGGCAGGAGAATTGCTTGAACCTTCAAGGCTGAGGTTGCAGTGAGCCGAGATCAGGCCACTGCACTCCAACCTAGGTGACAGAGCGAGACTCCACCTCAAAAAAACAAAAAACAAAACACAACAAACACACACACACACAATAAAACAGGGGCCTGATAAATCTTTGTCAGAGGTGTCAGAGACCATGATATCCTTCAGCAGGAGAATGGAAAGATGACATTCAAACCAGTCCAGACTTAGCGCTTACCATGCTAGCACAGAAGTTAGAATCTCCTCAGAGTCAAAAGCCCAGCAGACAAAATAAACCAAATAAACAAGCAATGTTCTACCCCACACACTTATCATTAATTCCTAAGGATAAAAAAAGTCCCAAAAATGACGTAGATTTACTTTCAAAAAAATATAAACCAAGCAAATCTAATGGAATATGTAACAAAATATAGCTAACAAGATAAAACAACATAGTCATTTAAAACTGAGATTAAGTTTCTTTTCTAAACTTTTTTTTTTTCTTAGTGGACTACACCCCGTGTCTCTTGAACTTGAGCCACCTGTCATACAACACAAGTGTTAAATGCCACATTAGCAGGTCCGTGCTGCTTGCTCAGAACCTCAACTAGCTCCTTTTAATTCATGCTGTCTAATTTTTTTGTTTCCTAAAGTTACCAATGTTTGTTGTTCTTTTAAATATTGTTTTTTTTGTTTTGTTTTTTTCTCACTTCCTCTTTGAGCCAATAAGGCACTGATAAAGATGGCATTTGAATTCATTCCCCTCCATTGGATTAAATCAGGGAAGGTCTTTTTGCCCCGGGTAGATAATGCCCAGGAACTCTAAAGTCTAATCTTGATAGAGATAGAGATAGAGATAGAGACAGAGATGATAGAAACAGAAAAGTAGAAGATAAGAAGCTATGACTCAGAGAAATCTCAATTCAAATTTTCAGGCTCACTGTTGAGGGAGCCTGAGAAGCATATTTAACCCATTTGATCCTCCAGTTTTTCATTAATATCAAGGTTATAATACTATCTACTTTATAAGATTTTTGTGAGAGTTAAATTAGATGGTGCACATACACCCTAAGTAAGTTTTCAATTAGTGGAAATTACTTATAATTAAAACTGTTAGCAGAGTCAGCCATATTTAGACAAAACTAAAAGGAAAAAATGTCAAAATAAACTTCTAAATGCCATGAATATAAATCTAAAAACTATTTTTTTAAAAATTTCTTTTTATCTCTATTTCTGATTAAAGATAGGATTCAGCTCAATTTCCAAGGAAATAGGAATTACTGGGGCCTCACTTAGATTCCAAATGAACAGCAAAAGGGAAGCATCTCACCCTCTTAGAGGGATGCTAGGATATTTGAAAAGCAAAAAGTTTTGTGGATATATTTAGAAAGTTAATGTCTCTTCCAAGAAAGGAAAAGGAGAGCAAGGACTTCAAGAGACGAAATCATACTGTGACTTGTATTATAGTTTTTGGACAGAATTTTGTTGAGGGTATATTGATGGCAAAATGTGGAAGAAATCCCCAAGAGGGCAAAATAACAAACTCATCCCCCTTTCTTTTCCCCTCCGTAGATTTTAACTACGTAGCAGTATATCCCCACCTCGTCTAGGTAATTGTAAGGCATGCATTTTTAATTTTGGTAAGTGTGCATATTTTACTAAGCGGCTCTCCTTGAAAGGGTGATCATCCATAAGCTGTATCAAATCAGAGCATGGGTGTCAGCCACTTGCACAGGGAAAAATGTATTAAGTAAAGTGACTGAAGGATAGCAACAGACACTGCTCCTCGGAGAGCGGTTGGGCCAGAAAACCATTTCTTATCAATTAGAGGCCAAATAGTGTCAAAGTTTTAAAATTTTTAAAGATTTCTTCACTAGTTCTTAGAGGGGAGAAGAGACAGGATAGGAGATTAGGCAGCAGAAGTTTTGAGCAGAGTTAACACAACTGGATGAAGGCAGAGGATGAAAAATGAAAGTGATGGTGAGATGAATTATTAATTTCCTGAAGTCCAAATCTGTTTCAGTTGGAAGTGAAGCTTTGACTCAGAGAGATTTGATAGAACCAAAATCATGTTATTGGTTCCATTTGCTGTAATTCTTTTAAAATAGACCTTGTATTACTGTATAGACGGATCACAATACATTAGAACAGGTTAAATCTTTCTATCACAATACATTAGAACAGGTTAAATCTTTCTATTGCTCTATCGTTGCAATAACATATAATCATTTTCTCTGTTTTAATTAAAATCTAATTTTTTGTAGTCTGATTTCTTCTGAGTCTGTTTTTGTTCCAGACTAACCCACTAAACCTTTTTAAGGCAGTAATTTTAGAAGGATCTCCAAGTAAACAATAGGCTATTTTCATTTGGCATTTATACTTGTAAAACCATAGTGTTGGTATTTTCATGTCTTCTGTTTTCCGTAAAGTAATTAAATTAGTCAATTTCTAACAAAAACTGCATCATCGTGAAAATCAAAATCCAATAGTCAGAAGCATGTGTTAAGTCCAAACTTCTTTTTATTTGTTAGTTCCATTAGTCAACTTTATAGAGCAGAAGGGAGGAATGGAGGACAAAAGGAACCCCATACAAGCACTGTGCCATTATGGTTTGAAGCAAAATCTTTTTACTCCTTACAGAGATCCCAAGAGGTAGTTATTATAAGAAAATGTCCATTTAGAGAGTTCAATCATTTAAATTCACAAAGCAAATATGTGTCTGTTCTGGATCCAAACTAATGATTAAATCAGGAGAACACATGAAGGAGCTGTCTACTGTGAAAAATATATACGTCAGTAGAGGTTTCTTAAGCTTTAGCTTAGAAAACATTCATGCAGAAAAACACTAATGCAAGTCAGAGCTCAGAAAAAAAAAATCTAAAAACCACAGGAGATAAGATCTCAAATGAGCAGATAAAAAAAAACAAACAAAACCTCAGTGAAATAATAAAGGGCAATCTTCATTCTATATGGCCAAAACTTGATACACAGAGAAGGGAAAATGGAGAAGAGAGGAGAATGGACAGAGACTGTGTGTGTGGTAAACTGAAAGCTGAAATCTAAGGACCAAATAAAGAGAAAGAGCCAAAGAAAATGTTGGGTCTCATCTCACAAGCAGAAGAAGACATTCATAACTCTCAAAGTCAATGGTCTGAAATTGTCACAGCCAAGAGGAACCTAAGGAAAATAACAACTAAATGTAATGTGTTATCCTTGATGGAATCCAGAATTTAAAAAAAAAAAAAAAAAAAAAAAAAAGACAAAAAAGGAAAACTAAAGAATTCTTAATAAAATACAGACTGTATTTAATAATAATTATATTAATAGAATTCATCAATTGTGACAAATGTGCCATGCTGATGTAAGATATTAATACTACAGGAAACCAAATACAAGGAAAATGAGAATTCTCTGTATCATAATTTTTTTTAACCTAAAAGTATTCTAAAATTAAATGTTTCTAAAAAAAGTCAACAGTCTAAACACAGATTTTTGTGGTAATTTTGTCCCAAGGAAAATCCTAAGAGGATAAATGCAAGGCTTCCAACTCTGCCCTCAAGAGGGGTAAGGAATAAGGATCCTTATAAACAAAATATTGGTACAGGTCTTGATACCACCAAGATATACTCTTTATTTCACATTGCAATAAATCTACTTATTAAGAAATTAAGAGAACTGCGCCTTAAAACACACACACAACACAAATTTTCTTACAGTTTTCAAGAATTTAAAATTTAGCCTTAATTTTATAAAGGCAGGAAATCAAATAACTTTCTATTTATTTAAACAAATTACCTGGAAAATGCAGTCTTAATCAAGTAATACCAGTTATGCATCTCCTTAAGCATACTAAACTTATGTACCTAGAGACAGCCAAGAATATCAGACCAAATGTAATTAACTAGTGGTTCACACTAGATGGATGATCTTGTATCCAAAATGAAAAATTAAAAGGACTCAATGCCACTTCTATTAACACGATCATTAATACTGTAATACTATTAAGCAGAAAAAGTTATAGTGGTAAGAGAATCATTGCACACATAGCTCAGTAACCAGTCACTAAATAACACAATAGCTATATAAAAAAGGACCCTAAAATAAGGTACAAAGAGACACTAACCCCACATTACTCTGAGTGTCTCCCTCAGCCTGCTCTGTCCACACCTGGAAACGTATTTCTGTCTCTGCAACAATCTTGCATCTCCCATCAGGCAGCTGAACCTGAAAAATTTGAAATGGACCTTAGGCTTACTGTGGCCATTTGAGTTCACATAAAATCAGGACACTTTCCAAGGGAATCTATTGAATGTCAGGTTTGAGTCAAGGTTTTAATTTCACAGTAGATTTAACTGAAGAGATTTAATTTTACCAAATTAAAAACTCATGTCTTACAACAACGCCCAAACCCTCCAGGAGTGAACTCAGACAGAGAAAGTTTGATCAGAGCCTCCACTAGAAAGAAAAAGACAAGATGCTAGATGCCCTAGTTTAAAACCCCAGAGGCTCGGGATGGAGGAACATGGAGAATTAACACTCTGTAAAAGAGATACTGTTCTTGATGACTGGAAACAATTTCTCCAATCAAAGGGCACCTATCTGCCCTCAACACACTCCCCCACAGCCCATTTTTATGTATGTGCAACACAGATTGTGTCCAAGCAACTCCCAGAAATTGAGAGGAGGAGAATGATGGCTAATATTAGTAGTCAATAATATGCTACTGTCTTCCATGCATGTGGGCATGGGTAAGATAGTGAGGGAATTAAAACTACCCGTGAAAACTTAATAATGGAAAAGAAAAAAGAGGGAGGCAGGGTGGCTGGAGGAAGAATCAAAGCAACAGATATTAGCTGATGAGAAAAATGCCAAGTAGAGAATAAAATGAGTAATGGCTAATATTAATGCATCACTTAGCATGCGGCAGACACTGCACTAGGCCCTTATACACATTATCTCAATTTCACAATGATCCTGCAGTCTATGTATTATTCAAGTTGTATAGAAGAAAAACTGAGGGTAACTGACATTACTTGTCTTGCCCTAGGAACAGTTTAAAATTTTAGGCACAAGACAAAATCCCAGGTCAGTTTAATCTTCTCAGCCTTTGCTTTTTTCATTACACTATCCTGCCTGTCCAAGAAAGTAAGTTAACACCTAGGTAATCAGTAAGATAAAATAAGTTCCAAAATATTTACATATGTCTACAAACCTTAATCCTCCATCCAGGTTGTAAACTCTTTAAAACAAGGACCAATCAGTTCATGTGCTTCTAGGTAAAACAATATTTTACAGTTATATAAATGTGATGAAGCAAAAAATATGCTTCTGTAAAAAATTGAGTTTGCAGGAGCTAAACTGAGGCATTCCACCAGTAAAATAAAATAATGGTGCTCTGTTACACAGTAAAAAGTTGATCTGTCAATCTGTGGATCTGTACACTTAAGACTGTATATTTAATTGCATGTAAATTATATATCAATTAAAATCAATTAAATAGATTATAAAGGGAAAAAGTGAGCACTGATTTCTTTTCTTTCATTTTCTCTTTTCTTTTATTTTCTTTTCTCTCTTTTTGAGATGGCATCTTGCTTCATTACCCAAGCTGGAGTGCAGTGGTGAGATCTTGGCTCACTGCAACCTCCACCTCCCCGGTTCAAGCGATTCTCGTGCTTCAGCCTCCCATGTAGCTGGGATTACAGGCGCCCACCACTATGCCTGGCTAATTTTTGTATTTTTACTAGAGATGAGGATTCGCCATGTTGGCCAGGCTGGTCTTGAACTCCTGACCTCAAGTGATCTGCCCACCTAAGCCTCCCAAATTGCTGGGATTACAGGTGTAAGCCACTGCACCTGGCCTGATTTTCGTTTTTGATTATGCTGGATGTAGCAGACCAACACTCCTTTTAAGACCAATATGAAAATTCAGCTAAAATGTAAAAGTAAATTGTTTGAAGGAATCGGATTGCTGCTGAGAAAATGAAAACTTGATAGGTCAGAATTCAGGAGAGAAGAAATTCAATAAGATAAACCCCATGTTCAGAGTTCAGCTTCTCTCCTTGTGACATATGTATTTTCTTTGTTATGACAAGAGACTGAGAATCCAAGAAGAGAGTGGCTACTATGAAATCATCAGAGACTTCAGAAGTCTTTTAAAGTTGAAGGGACAAAAATTGCAGTTTAGGGTGCTGATTCAGGCAGAACTTAAGAGGCCAAGATCCCTAAAGAATGAAGGTTCAAAGAAGTAAGACCACTTTTTACTTCTATGCATCATTAGGCTTTGAAACTACTAAGATTTTACTCTGTTTTTCAGCTATTTCTTATTGGCCTTTTAGCCTCTTGCCCTGCACAGCTTAGGTATTTAGCAAATGCACTATGGGAAACGCTTTTGTTCTTAATTCAATAACTGGAATTAAGAACTCAAGAAGAACCAGGTGTGGTGGCTCATGCCTATCGTCCCAACACTTTGAGAAAGCTGAGGCAGGTAGATCACTTGAGGTCAGGAGTTCAAGACCAGCTTGGCCAACGTGGTGAAACTACGTCTCTACTAAAAATACAAAAATTAGCTGGGCATAATGGTACGCACCTGTAATCCAGCTACATGGGAGGCTGAGGCAGGAGAATTGCTTGAACCCAGGAGGCGGAGTTTGCAGTGAGCCGACATAGGGCCGCTGCACTCCAGCATAGGTGATAGAGTGAGATTCCATCTCAAAAAACAAACAAACCAACAAACAAACAGAAAAAGAACTCAAGAGGAGTGTAACAGCAAATTCATCACAGATTATAGAAAATTAGTGAAGTTAAAGATCATCAAAAATTATACAAACTGAAGCAGAGAAAAAAATTGGTGGAAAATACATAAAAGAGTAAAGACGACACATGAAACCCAGTGAAGGAAAGAAGAGAAAGAAGTGAACAAAATCAAAGTTTGAAGAAACAACAGCTAAGAATATTTCAAAACTGAAAAAATATATCAAGCCACTGACTCAAGAAGTGCTACAAATCCTAAGTAGGAAAATACAGAAACCATACTAGAGTAAGGGTATGTTATAGTAAAACTGCTATACACCAAAAGCAAAGAGAAAATCTCAAAAGCAAGACAAGACAGATTAATTTCAAAGTAGCAACAGTATTAATGATGATTATAGAAATAATGAAAGTCAGAAAAGTATGTAATGGCATTTTTTTTTAACATGCTGAGAAAACATATCAGCAAAAGTAGAATTCTGGATTCGGAAACATGTCTCTTAAAATGGAAGGTTCATAAAAATACTAAAGGACAGAATCTATTATCAGTAGACCCGTGTTGAAGATATACTCAATAAATTTCTTCAGGCAGAAGAAAGATAATAAAGAAAAGTAAAGAAATTCAGAGAAAATCAAAACACAAATAATATTTTCAAGGGTTAAAATATGCATAGAAATAAAATTCACAACAGTGATAACACAAAAGGAAGGAGGAAGTAAACGAAATTAAAAATATTATAAGGATTCAGCATTATCTGAAATGTAATAAAAGTACTGATTTTTTATTAGCCTCTGATAAGTCAAAGATTAATGTTGTAATCTCCAGAGTAATAATGAAAATAATAATAAAATAGAAACTTACCAGCTAACAGAAAGGAATATTGAAATACTTTTTAAAAACATATATGATTTTTCCAAAAGTAGGTAAGAAAATTTAGAAAAGGGTATTGATGTGGTTTGGCAGTGCCCCACCCAAATCTCGTCTTCAATTGTAGTTCCCCTAATCCCCACATGTTGTGGGAGGGACCCAGTGGGAGGTAATTGAATCATGGGGGTGGGCTTTTTTCATGCTGTTCTCATGAGAGTAAATAAGTCTCATGAGATCTGATGGTTTCATAAAGAGCAGTTCCCCCACACATGCCCTCTTGTTTGTTCCTCCTCCGTGACTTTGCTCCTCCTTCACCTTCCGCCATGATTGTGAAGCCTCCCTAGCCATGTGGAACTGTGAGTCCATTAACCCTCTTTTTTAAATAAATTACTCAGTCTTAGGTATTTGTTCATAGCAATATGAAAATGGACTAATACCAATACCAATCTACTGTTGGTACCAGTAGAGTGGGGTGCTGCTGTAAAGATACCCAAAAATGTGGAAGCAACTTTATAATTCAGTAACAGGCAAAGGTTGGAATGGTTTGCGGGGCTCAGAAGATAGAAAAATGTGGGAACCTTTGGAACTTCCTAGAAATTTGTTGAATGGCTTTGACCAAAATGCTAATAGTGATATGGACAATAATGCCCAGGGTGAGGTGGTCTTAGATGGAGATGAGGAACTTTTTGGGAACTGGAGTAAAGGTCACTCTTTCTATGCAAAGAGACTGGTGGCATTTTGCCCCTGCCCTAGAGGTCTATGGAACTTTGAACTTGAGAGACATTATTTGATTTAGGGTGTATGGTGGAAGAAATTTCTCAGGGGCAAAGTTTCAAAAGGAAGCAAAGAATAGAAGTTTGAAAAATGTGTAGCCTGACAATGCAATACAATAGAAAAACTCATTGTCTGGGAAGAAATTCAAGCCAGCTGCAGAAATTTGCATAAGTAATGAGAAGCCAAATGACAATCCCCAAGACGATGGGGGAAATGTCTCTAGGACATGTCAGAGACCTTCAGAGCAGCCCCTTCCATCACAAGCCCAGAGTCCTAGGACGGAAAAATGGTTTCCTGGGCCAAGTCCAGTGGTGGGGAAGGGGCTGCTGTGTGCAGCCGTGGGACTTGGTGTCCTGCCTCCCAGCCTCTCTGGCCCATGGCTTCAGAAGGTGCAAGCTCCAAGCCTTGGCAGCTTCCACGTGGTGTTGAGCCTGTGTCTTAATTCTTGAGAAGTCAAGAATTAAGGTTGGAGAACCTCCGCCTAGATTTCAGAGGATGTATGTAAATGCCTGGATGTCCAGGCAGAGATGTGCTGCAGGAGCACAGCCCCTATGGCAAACTTCTGCCATGGCAGTGCAGAAGGGAAGTGTGGGGTTGGAGCCCTCACACAGAGTCCCCACTGGAGCACTGCCTACTGGAGCTGTGAGAAGAGGGCCACCACTCTCCAGACCCCAGAGTGGTAGATCCACCAACAGCTTGCACTGTGCACCTAGAAAAGCTGCAGACACTCAACGCCAGCCTGTGAGAGCAGCAAGAAGTGGGGCTGTATCCTGAAAAGCCACAGGAGTGGCTCTTCCAGAGAGGCTGGGAGCTGCCCAAGGCCATGGGAGCC